ACTTCAACTCCCAGAATTCCCCAGCCAGCATGGGAGTTGAAGTCCACCCATCTTAAAGTGGCTGAGGTTGAGGAACACAAGGTTAGACCATAGAGATGGAAGAAATGTGGGAATGGGGAAGGATTCCAAAATGGGTTTTTATGTGATAAGATTGCAACCCCATTTCTACCAACATTATCCAGAGTCACCAGGTTAAAACCTGAAGCTGACCATTCTTGATTTACATTAAAAAAGAAAAAAAGACTACTTGAGGTTATTGATTAAGATTGGGGCCATTTTAAACTTCGTCTCCTCTCCATACAGTGTAATTTCAGCACTTGAAAGGTGACACCACTGAACGTTTTGTCCTTGCCATGCACTGTTTGTAGACTGTTCAAATCTCTTGCTTACCAATGGCTTTCTTGGTTAACTGGACCAGGATTTGCTCAATTAAACCTGTTTTCAGGAATCACACAAGGCAATGAGCCACAACTAACCACATGCATTGGCTTTGCACAATGTGTTAACTGAAATGTGTTTAGCCAGTTTGTGCTTCAGAGTGTGCCAAGCAAACTTTACCTTACTTGTTTGGCCCTAACATCTATACTGAAGACTTGCTCCGAAACTACAGTTTTCTATGTAGTAAGATTATTTACATGATTTGGATTTTTATCTATGTACGACTTTATATGCACAAAGTCAGCCCTTTTGAACTGGATCTTAAAAGGCTGAACTTTCAATATCTGAAGCAGGGCAGAGTCTGCTGTTAAAACACGCTGAGAATATTTCAATATCAAAATGGGCTTTTCTGCCTGTAGGGAATTACACATGCATGTAAGGCCATAATATGTTGGATTTCATGCATATTGTACAGCACTGAGGTCCTGATATTTCCTTTCCCCCCCATACATCAAAAGCTGTTCAAAGGCTTAAGATGCCAGCAGGCCAAAATAAATGATTTGCAGAGGTCTCAAGATGTAGCCGTTGCGTTCCTCCGCCTATTATCTGAAACCTCTCACTGCTTTGGGGTTGGTTAACCCTAACCTGCTTAACAAACGAAAAGAGAAGCGAGGAAGAAAATCAGCCTGCATTCTTCAGTAGTAAAATAATTCAGAAGGGTTTCTTTTTTATGTGATGTGACACAGCAAATGTAAAAAGGCTTCGGCCACCCGTAAACTTGCAGGTACAGAAAATGAGATTGCCTTTGTGCCCAGCCTCTGAACCCAACAAAGTCTTTGCGTGCCAAAATGCTTTGGGTGCTAGCAAACAAACCGTTGGCTGTTAGTCCGCACAAAAGCATTTTTCATGGGAAATGGCTGTGGGTGGAACAGAAGCATCCTCAGGGTGTGGTTAAAAGAGTCATCTTGGACACCACAGTGCAATCAAAGTTCCACCTGTTTTTTTAATGCATGAAACCTATTTGAAAAATGGAGCTTCAATCACACCATCGCAGCCACTGTTTTGACTTCTTTGACCACGCTCTATGGATACCCCTGGTTTGAATAAAGTGTAAAATTCTCTCAGGGTGCAAGCCAACCCAGTCTTGGCCCTAGAACAACCTTTTACAACTTGGGACCTTCTGAGCATGTCGGGTCTGTGATTTGCAAAAAAAAAAAAAAATCAAGTTCAACAAAACATTTCTTTTGCTTGGGAAAAAAAAAGGATTTGCAACATGTTCCACAGAAGGATGTTGCTGGCTTAAGGGAGGAGTGCCCCTAAGACATTTAAATCCTGGTCTAAAATTACCTAGCAAAACTACTGGTCCAGCCATCTGCTGTGAAGGTTGAAGAGCCTTTTTATCTGTCATGGCTGAGCCTCTTGATGGAGTTTGGTTTTGTTCATTCTTTCCTCCCATTAGCTGTTCTCTTTTCCAGATGAACCAATTGTTTCTGCAGACGATAAAACCATTGGCAAGACCTGCGAATACAATGGGACCACTTACCAACATGGAGAGATGTTTGTCACAGAGGGAATCTTCCACAGCAGACAAGATGATCAGTGTGAACAGTGCAGCTGTTCTGTAAGTTAAGCACTGATCTCTGCTGGGCACAAAACAGCTTTCTGCAATGTCCCACCCCATTTGTAGGAGAATTTGGTTTGCAATGAACTTTCCTCAAAGTTGTCCTTCCGAGGGATGGAGTATTCTCACAACAGTTTATTGCAGGCAGGACTCCCTGCTTGGAAGTGACCGTAGCCTTGCTACTGGAAAAGCCCCCAGGGAGAGGTTCCTTCCTGATGTCTAAAATTTAGTTGATTCAGTTTGAGCATTTGCAGATTCAGAGTGAATCAACTGAATTGACATCAACTCTTCAGACAGCTCTATCTACTTCTGTATGGAAGATGTCCCCTCTTCCACATACAGTACATTAGCCATGAAGACACAAGAGAAGAATAAGTATCTGTGGGTGTTTCTAGCTCTGATTTTGAAACAAAGGGACTCCTCCTGTGTCATTCTAAACAAGAATGTCCCCTCACCCCACCCTAATTCAAGGAAGCCAATCTGCCCCTGAGGAACCTTGGATCAACTTCCCCAGAACTCCAAGGTTCCCCAAATACAGTTTGAAAGCCACACAAACAGGGCACTTGCGTAGTTTCACTTTTCCGCTTTTTGCCCTGTTGCTGGAGGGATTCCAAAGGATTCATTTTTGGGTTTCCTGATTAAGAAGTCATGAAGATTCCCTTCTGAGGAATTTCAGATTTTTTGCAGATAGAGTTGATCATGTTAAGCTTCACTGCAGTTTGAAACACTTGCAAAAAAAAGGGGGGTGG